GGAAGGAGTTGTGGCCAGGGCTCCTGGGTCCCATTCCCAGCTCTGCCTCAGACTCCCTGTGACCTCTGGGCAGCTGCCCGTCATCTCCAATTCCATAACAGGAGATTGTCTCCTCTCCCAGGGCACTTGGGGGCTGCTGCTCTTATTGCCTACTCCTCCCTGCACTCCACCATCAATGCGAGACTTCCCAGCTCAGGCTGTCTGTCGGCTGGGCGGATGCTGGAGAAGAGTCACCTCGGCTCCAGGGTGGTGAGTGGAGCTGTCGGAGACGGGGGACCCATTTGCCTCTCCAGACCTGCAAACTTCACCCTGCGCCATCAACAGGTGCGTGGAGGGAAATCCCCTCGCTCTGCTCCATGTCGGGGCCTCCACAGGGGCATAGAGAAGGCTCCATCTCCTGCCGGGCATTGGGATGGTGCTGCCTTTCTGGCTCCCAATGGCTGGAGAAACTGAGGCCTCCTTTTTCCTGAGGGGCTGGAGCTGTTTGACTGGAGGAGGATACCAGGGGTCGCACAGTGGCCGTGCAAAGTGCCCTGGGGGAACCGCACCGCTTGGCTCACCCTGAGGCGGAATAAAGCCTCTTTCTAGAGCCAGTGGGCTCAGAGCAGTGGGGTGAAACTCTTCGGCACGGTAGCGAAGTGGTTAGTGCGCCTGTGTTCACTCTGTACCGCCCTCTGCTGGATGCAGCCAGAGCTGCTCAGCCTTGTGCCACACGCCTTCCACAGCTCACGGCTGGCAAGGATTTCCCTTTGGCTCCAGGAGCAGGGCCTGTGCTCACCCCGGTCACTGCAAGGGGCGCAGAGGGCACTGGGGGCCATGTGGGGAGAGCCGTGGAGCTGAAGGTGGCTCGGGTATGAGACACGTGATCACAGAAACCACTGTCTGTGCTCCCGTAAGGAGGGTTCTGTCGTGTTTCCAGCCCAGAAAGGAGCAGGAAGTGGCTCTCTGCGTCTACTGGAAATTTGAGGCTGGCAAAGGGAGCTGGTCTCCAGACGGGTGCACCACCCTGCACGTGAACAGCACCCACACGACCTGCAGCTGCGACCATCTCTCCAGCTTCGCCATCCTAATGGCTCCCAGCGCAGTGACGGTATCTCCCCTTGAGACTCGGCTCCCCGGGCTGGACCCCGAGCTCCGCGCTCAGCCTGAGCTTGGCAAAGCTGCCCCGGGAGAGACGGAGGCTTTGTGGGGAAAAGGCTGAGTGGGACCCAAGGGCTGGGCTGGCTAATGGGGATTCTCCTTTGCTGTGTTACAGGAGAGTCGCCCACTGACCATCCTCACCTACGTGGGCCTGAGCCTCTCCCTGCTGTGCCTCCTCCTCGCCATCCTCACCTTCCTCCTGTGCCGCTCCCTCTGGAACGTCAGCACCGCCCTCCACCTGCAGCTGTGCCTCTGCCTCTTCCTGGCCGACCTGCTCTTCCTCAGCAGCCAGGGGGTACGGCCCCATTCCCCCCAATCAGCCCCTCCGCTCGCAGCAGGGCTGGGGTGTGCAGCTGTGAACCCCCGGGGCTCCCTGGGTTCTGGGTGTGCAGGACACAGGCGGGATTCCGGGGGGACGTTCCCACTCCCTGTGAGGCTCCTTTACACTGGGCACAGGAGCCTCAGTCTCACTGTCCCCAGGAATTTGATCAGTCCTGTCCCTGTCGCCATTTCCCTGGACCGTGATTCCTCTCCTAGGTGACTTGCCCAGGGCTCACTTGGGGGATGTGCGGCAGAGTCAGGAACAGAACCTGGCTCCCCTGAGCCCTGCTCTGCTGCTCCAGCCAATAATCTCTGCTGCCTTA